ACTGCCCGATTCATTTGCTTAAACCTGCCTTTTTTTTTTTTTTCGCAAGAGATTGGAAAGAAAAAAATCACTTCAAACAAAAAAATGTTGGTAAACTTCCATTAAGTATGGAACAAAATAAGAATTTCAGAAATTTTATGATTATGAATTGTCTTAGCTACAACAAAGCATTTATACCTTTAAAAATATTTACTAAATTAAAGAGCATATTTTACATGTTCTGCACAAGACAAAGGCAACATTTTACTAAAAATATTTAATAGCCCCCTCTCGTTCTTTTTTCAGGCCCTCCCTGTTAAGCTGAACCTCAGAGTGCAAACATTAAATTAATTGTAAGGCTTTTTACTTTTCTTTTTTGTCTGAGACATTAAAGACATGTGCTTCTGTACAATGTAGATTTTCAAAATGGAGGTTTTTCATAACAGCACAAAATGAGATTTAAAAAGACATGAAATTATCACCATAACACTTGGTAAAAACTAAAGAAAGAAATGGTTAAAGCAAACCTGATGTATACTGGTATGAATGTGGGAGATGTAAACAGAGAGCAGGCAAATAGCCACACAGCCCCTACTTGAAATGTTTGAAATGACTGAAGGAATAAACCATACAAGGTCTGAAGTGTTTGTAGTTCCTGAGACTTTAGTTCTGTATGATACTAAAAATATATAAGTATTGGGCTGGGTATTTTGGCACCTAATCTTTCTAACTTTCTTACATATTGATAAGATTCTGGCATGGGAATAGATTTAAAGACATAACTCCATACCGCATGATTTCAGGAAAGGTCAATTGGTACAAATAATAAGCACATTTTAAATGCTGAACAGCAAGAATCTTTTGTTAAGTGTCCAAATAGGCTGATTATAACCTTAAGGTAGAGATTGTAATTCTGTCAAGCTTTGCAACCTGGTAAAACTGCTTTTTCAATACTCCCATGGAAGCTTCATTAGACTTTTTAACCAAGCCAACACATTGGCTAATACGTATGACAAATCCAGTCCTGTCTCAAGTTCTACTTCCAAGGGAATAGCATCAGCCCCCCCCCCCTATCGTTTTATTGAACGCAACAGTTATTCTTATGACCATCGGAGTCTTTGCAGTGCAGTTGCATTTTAGGACGATACTCCTCCAGATATAAAAGTTGCTTGCTGTTAATAGCTCCACACCACTTTTGTCTTATGAATTGTACTGCATCTTATTTCATTCCACCTTCAATTAATGCTAGGGCAACTAGCACTGGAGCTCTCCCAAGGCCTGTGACACAATGAACAGCAATACGACAACCAGGTTCTTCACGAAACTTAATTTTTACAAGACTTAACCAGTCATCAACAATCTGGTTGGATGGTGGTGCACCATCATCAAAAGGCCAATCGAGAACATGGATGCCTTCTTTCTCCACAAGTGTTGTGTCATAAGTTGCTTCACATACTCCTAATATTGTAGGAACTCCATACTTCCTAAGTTCCTCTATAAATTTGTTTAAGGTCTCATTGGTTGGATTGTGTGTAATAAGAAATCTCATGTTCTTGTATGTGACTTCTGGAGCTGGGCGGTTCATTGTCATGTTAATTTAGTTAAAAAACATTCTATAGGGTTATGAGAGAATTTTAAAAACTGAATACAGAAATGATGCAAAGAAACTGAAGTCTACTTCTATATACTCCACTTGAAATTCTCAGTGCTTTGAGTATGAAGTTGACAGTAATGAGAAATGAAATGAACCTCCTAACAAGAAGCAGCAATTCTTCAATCCAGTAATACTGAGGCAATGGAAAGGAAGTGCACTGAGGTTTACCCCATCCAGGTCAGAACTCTTGTAAAATGCTCTGCAGATCTCAATTCAACTTCTGTGTCCAGGTTAAGCACACTTAGGGGGGCTTCTTGGGGGAGTAGTAATCAATTTCTACAGTTCACTTGTCTGTATATAGATTGTACTATGCCTGGCAGTAATCTCCACTGCCCTTCAGAAACTCCATAAATGTGTGACCAAGAACACCACAAAACTGAGGAATATGTTTACTCATTGAAGATTGTGGCCTAATCATACAGCCGGTCCCGAGGAGGCGGTGGCGACACAGGCGGCGGTGGTGGCGGCGGCTGCAGGGCGGTGGTCGTCGCGGGGCGGCGGTGACAACAATGCAGGCGGCGGCGGGGGCACCAGGCTCTACCAGCGGCTCAGAGCAGAGCGTGTCGCCGAGCCGGCCCACAGCCGAACGAGCCAATACGCGCGCCGAGGCCGAAAAATTGAACTTTAAAGAATCACCAGTATTTAGTCAAAATACAGAGGTAGGCAGAAGATGCCATGACCTGCACAGTGGAACACGTGCCCCGAGTGGGAGCAGCCTTGAGTTAGAGAATAAAGTGAAGATCTTCACTTATTAAACTTTTTCTTTTACTATATTTGAAGCTGGCTTATTTGTCAAAGAATGGAATTCCTTAGGGCTTTTTATTGCATAGACATATAACATATAGTGCGTAACACTCATAGACATATAACACATAGCATGTAACAAGATATATTACATGTATGCACACACACGTACACGTGCAAAAAGATTTCAAAACCATCTCCTAAGTCAGTTTTAAGAGAAAATGTTTGTAATTTAACAGACTGTTTTAAAAGAGAATTTCTTTTTAAAAATTATTTTATTTAACTTTATTTATTTTAATTCGACCAGAGAGGGACAGAGTAAGAGAGAGAGAGACAGAGACAGAGACAGAGAGAGAGAGAGAGAGAGAGAGAGAGAACTGGGAAAGCAAGCTGCTAGGTCCAGGACTTGAACCTCAGTCGGCCACATGGGAGTTCAGCACTCTTAACCACCATGCCACCTATCAGCCTTTAAAAGAGAATTCCTAATAGGAGTGTCATTCAGTTCATTTAAAATGTTAGAGGCAAAATTAGAAGGATTAAACGAGGGCAGAACACTATTTTGTAAATCTGTGATTTGCTTATGAAGATTTTTCATATCTAATGAAATATTGTTAGAAGATCAAATCCCACAGAGATGGTTTTGTATAGAAATCCAGTGTCATTATATAGCAAAAGCATCACACAGATAGGTAGATATAATGCATGACATTTCAAATGACCTTGTAGCTGCATTTTGAACCCCTATTCTCTTAAACCGTCTACCGTCTACCGTAGTTTCCAGCTCTTGCAAATGGACAGCAATTTGTCACTATTTAATTGGGTGCCTAATGCTTGCTCTAACAGTGAATACCACTAGAGCACTTGTAATGGCCTTAGGTGAGTCTACTGTGGGGAAAACAAATGCAGTAGCACAGGCAAATTGTCTAATAAGATCCGAAGGGGAGTGACAGCCAATCTGTTTGGGAGTAAGAAGGTAACAATCACACAGTCCCTGGTCGTTTGTGAGTCTAGGGCAAGAGATTACATTTACTTAAGAGGCCTGTTGTTGTTTGTAAGTAGTAAGCAAAAGTAATATTTGTTTTCGCACAATTATTCTCCCTTTTTAAAAATTTTTTGAGGAGGGGTTGGGTAGGTTTTAGAGAGGGGAAAGTAAACAGTAAAGGCAGCCTTTTGGTTCTGAAGTTGTTAAGAGAGGCGGCAGAAGCAACGGAATGCTAGGACCAAACAGAAAAAGTAAAAAAGATATATATATAGCAGTAATTGTCTACAACTGTAAATGGATGCATTGGAACCAGGTGAAAGTATTAAACTAGTTGCAGATATTTTGGAGTGTTAGGGAGGTATGATTGCTAGACCCATGTAAGTAAGTAGCACAGCAGATGTGTACAGGTTGGCTAGTGAGGGCGGCCTTTTTTTTTTTTTTTTTAGAGGGTTTTTTTTTTTTTTTTTTTGCTGAAGGGCACGTGTGCTTGCCAGACAGAGAGAGACAGAGAGACAGAAAGCGAGCAATCACCCCCCAGGGGGGATGGCCATGCTGCAATCCCTTCTCCTCCATTCTCCTCTCGGGATCTTGGGCACGTACGCACATGCACCCGGCGTGAGTTTTAAGCCACCGGGTCTGGGATGCGAACCGCAGTCACCTACGTGGGAGTCCAGAGACATAGCCATTATGCTAACTGCTGGTTCCATTTTATGGTGTTCTTCAGGGACTCTAAAAGCCTAAGTACTTGGTAGAGTCTTTTCTTTGGGAAACAATCTTGAAATGATTGTTGAATGACAAAACTGAAAACAATGTTAACAGACAAATTAGACAAACAGGCAATTAGTTGCTTTTACTATGTATAGAATTTAAAGATAATTATCTGAGTTGTGACTAATGGCATTACCTTAGTACAATTAGCTTTATTTATTAATGAGTAATTACTTATTATTATTCATTATTTGTTACTATGAAATGTTTATTATTTATAATTATTTATTTTTAATTTATTGATAAACACTTCAATTTTATTAATTTTTTGTAACTGTTTTTCAGGCTCTTTAAACATAACTCAAACCTTTAATAGCATGCCTTAGATTTTTTAGTTTTCATCCCTTCTTTTATTTTGAGATAGTTCAGCCATTTAGCCTTAAGATAAGAACTATAATCCCTTTTATACCCCCCCCCTTTTTTTTTTTTTTTTTTGCTATAGGGCTCTTGTGCTCACCAGAAAAACAGAGATAGACAGAGAGATAGAAAGCGAGAAATACCCTCTCCCCCCTGCAGGGGGGATGGCGCAATCCCTTCTCCATTCTCCACTCAGGATCTTGGGCATGCATGCACACATGACTGGAGTGAGTTTAAGCCACCGGGTCCGGGACTAGAACTGTGGTCGACTACGTGGGAGTTCAGCGACATAGCCATTATGCTAACTGTTGGTCCCAATACCCCATTTTTTTTCAGCCTGGGGAATTTAACACCTCTGTAAAGGCCATTGAGATTGCAACTTTGTATGTAGGAGTTTACATATTTACTAGAATACTTAAACTCTTAACAAATTTAACTTTTAGTACATACCAACAGCTTATGAATATGTGGTTTATAAACAAACAGAAACTTTAATAGAGTTTTTGAGGTCCTAATGAAGCCTAATATAATCAGCCACTCCCCCCCCCCTTTTTTTTTTTTTTGGTATGGGTTAATAGCTGCACTGCAAGAGGCATTAGCATCTTCAAAAGCCAATTGTTTCAACAAAATTTGCCCTGCATGCTGGTCAGAGACTACTTTGATATGGCTTATGTCAAGTGGGAAATAAAATCTTGATATAGCTCACTGGGTCCCTGCTGCATAGTGATCAAACTGCCTATCCCTCTATCCTAACTGGGAAGCCTTCTCCAGCATCTCAAGCATATAATGTTAATCTGCTGAGAAGCCTGCATTGTATATCCAATTCGTGCACCAGTACCGGCATACTCTGTTTCAGTCAACATTTCAAATGTGATAGGCATTCCATGTTGTTGATTCCTATTTGCTTGTTCCTGGGCTTCCTCAGACCAATCAGACTTGCACAGAAGAGAATCTCCTCCCACCAAGAAAGTCTTACCTAACACTGGCCAATCATCAGGTATAAATGCAGATTGAGTAGCCATCTCTAATACTGCCATTGCATATTGCGTGCAAGCCAATTTTTAAAAATTTTTAAGAGTTTTAAAGAATATTGGCTCACGCTGATGCTGAGTTTGTCCCGGGTTGTCAGGGTTGGGAGCCTCTATGACCGGACATAGTTTAAATCCTCAAATGTCCTCAAATCTGTCTGCCATGCAGTGCAAAACTTTCTGGAGGGGGGTTAAAGTGGGGGGCATCCTTTCTCTCCTCGCACCACTTGATTTGCAAACAGGGGAGCAGTAGGCCAAAAGACAGTGGCTCCACTCTCCTCCCTCTTATGACTGCTTTGGAATCTACAATTTTAGTCTACCTAGCTCTAGGAGACTGTCTCTTTCATTTTCAGGCCCCACCTATCTGGCCTTGTCCTTACAGACTCTGATTTCTTAGGTAGGAGGGAGGTATACCCTTCCAGAGTGTTTTTTTAGTCAAGTTACCAAACCAGCTCTGGATCCTTCTGGAGGGTTTTGCCTTAATTAAATTCCAAAGAAGGCAAAAACGGGACTCCTGTTAGGACTCTCTGTTGTTTTCTGACCTTGTCCCATGTCTCCTCATTTACTGTTCCCTGCTCTGGGAATCAGGGGCATGTTTCCTGCACAAAACCCAGAAAATGATGTAACTGCTTGACAGTAACCTTACTGCCCCTAGCTTTTAACATAGAAGAGAACATTTAAATATACATATCTCTCTCTTCAGACGATTGTGTCCCCACATTTTACACCTGACTCTGATTCAATCCACTCCTTCTCTTTCTCTATTCATTTCTTATTTTACTCTATTTGGTTCTTATTTTACTCTATTTATTCCTTATTTTACTCTATTAATTTCTTACCTTACTCTACTATCTCTGGCCAGACTCAAGGAGTGTCCACTTACCTGATTTTTTGTAGTCCCCCCCATACTCAGGCCCCACATTTGGGTACCACTTGCCGTGACCCACACAGCTGAACTCATGCTCTGAGTGAAGGTGGCCATCGATTAGAGAATAAACATAAAAATAAACACACGAGGACACACAAGTAGAGAAAAGTGGGGATCGGGGTGA